AGTGAGCCTGCAGAGAATTTTAAACCACTTCATAACGTTTTCTAGTAGGTCAGTTATTTTAAATCTTGGCTCTGTCACATCAGCATGCCCAGAAATTCCACTGGTTTTCTTACTGTTAGTAGAAAGGCATTCTTGATCTCTCTTGACCATGGCAACAAGTCTTGATAAAAGGCAAGAACTCTCCTATGACCTGAGAACATGGCAGGACTCTTTGTTGTAGGAGCTTGACAAGAGCACAACATAATTAAGAGAGGACAGCACCTTTGGCTGTATACTTTTCCTGATTAACCTCTCTCACAGAAGGAAATTAATGTTAGGCCACAAATAAAATGATCTTGCCTCTACACAGCTTTCCTAGGGATGGAGTATGAGTCAGAAAGAGTTCTTACTCCCTCTACATTAGCAATCATATTCCACTCCTCAGAGGTGTGATAGTTGCTACTTTCATGGAAAATTCTGACCTACCCAAGATATAAAACAAAGTCAGACAGTCATGAGATGCTGTCAAGGCAAACTGAATGTGAAGGATTGCTGCCTGATGAGAATAAAAGTATGACTAGCAAGCTTTTCTCAAGTTTTCTTTTGAAATTATAGTGGCCTTCTCAGTAAAAACATTGAAAGGAAGAAAGAGAATATACATTTCTTTTTTGTACTGGGAAATTTCATGCATGGTAGGAATCCTTTTTCAAATGTGATGACTGACATATTGAAAAATTAATTAAAAAATACAGCTGACACAATTGCATGAAAAAGTTGTTATAATATTCAATAGAAGCCCGTGGCATTTGTCATTTCAAAGAGAGGAACTATAATACAGGCGGAAGTCATACTCATGTAATCAAGAAACCTATGACAATAGATTGCTATTTGAGGCATATTTTTGCATTGCTACAGCTATGCATAACTAATTAGACAATCAGAAGTAGGTCTCATTATGCAAAGTTACTCAGCCATGTCCTGAAGTAATACCTTAGCGACATTTACTGTATGCCTCAGCAGTCACTTGCATGCTGGGAAACAGAGTAACAAATAAAGAGGAAACTTTAACACCACATTTTGATTGGCTTTCCACAAGAAACATCTTAAAGTCTGTCTTGAGTTCCTGTAAGACTTGGGAAGAACCAACTGCTCTTCCTGAAGAAAAATAAAAATTAATTACTCAAACACAGATAACATTTAGGTTTCCTCATATTCTTCTTGAGACAGATAAATAGCAAATACTTTTCTACAGTTCAGGCAGAAGGCCTGAACAACCTGCATCCAACCCATACCATCTTCAATTA